CAGATAAGAAAAAGGGTGCCAAAGAAATTTTATGAATCATATATCATCAAATAATCCATTTTTTCATCTTCTTATCTCTTCATTGTTATCTCTTCTGATGAATAATCATGTCTGTAAGAACGTTTTGTGAAGAGAGGAAAGAAAAGGATAAAAACATGAGTACGAAAAGATAATATAGCTTTTGATAGAATAAACTATGCATTACATGCATACATACCAGTGGAAAGAAGGTGCTTGTTTGGGTATTAAAATAACCAAGAATGAAAGTAAACGATAACGAGGCAAGCACTAATGTAAATGTTGCTATCAAAGTGTGAATAATTGGTTTAGAGCTTGAGTGGAGTTGATATCAAGTTCATAAAAAGAGATGGGTTATGATTTATGATCAGTGATAATGAAATGCATTGGTCAGAACCAAAAAAATTTAGGTTCCTGTAACTTTAATTTGATGGTACGAACAGTTTGTAAGGGTACAAAATTTGGTGTGTGTCAAATTATTTGTCTGCAACAAGTGGGAAAAGGTGAAGAATCACAGAGGCACTGTCGAATCTCGTGGATTTGACCAACTAATGTACCTAAGTCTATTGCTATGTGGCACAAAATTAATTACACCTGCACCACCATGCCACAACAGTCCAAACTTCACTTTACTCCCATATAATTTCTATAATGAAATATGTTTTCATTAGATTAATCATATAGAATTTTGAATATTGTGCATTTGAATTTGGATTCATCACTATAAATCTGATAGAATAAAGAAAAAAATTATATTTATAAACTATCTTTAATCTCATGGAAATATAATATTTTAAAGTTAATAATATATTCTAAGAATTTTCTTTTGAATTATTGTAAGTGTATTAATTTAATTTTACGAAATGTTTTTTCTAGTGAGTTTGATCCCCTCTCACATGTGAACACAGAGGGTGTGATGTTTTAAGCCCTTTTTTTGTTTTTCTTTTTCAATTTTTTGTGAAGGGCAAGTTTGAACACTTGCTCTTGTTTGTTAGTGCCTTTTCTTCCTACCATAACAATGTTCAAAGCTTATTGTTGTTTGAAACAAGACTTGCAAAATCTATTTTGTTTGTTTAATTTATGGATAAACAAATTTAGGTTAAAAAGCAGAATACTTAACATAGGAAAAAAAAATACTCACCCAATTTCCTTGTTTTCTCTATCTCTTTTTTTTTCTAGGTTTATTATCCATTAAATTAAATGCATGTCAACTTTATTTTAATTTTTTTAAAAGGTTAGGTTAGGGTTGATTTCAAAATTTTGTGTGAGTATAATCATAATTTTTTTTTTCACTTTGAGAAATGGGTGTTTGAGAAATACGAGGCACAATGACAGGGTGGTGAATGGATTAGAAGCCCACTAGCGAAGTGGGAAGATGGACCTAATCAAACCCTAAAACGCCATTATAATCATCCATGCTCAGTGGAGGGTCTCTTTCTACCAAAAACATGAAACGTGGATGGAGCCTCTCCAAAATTATCTTCATTTGGGAACAACTTTGCTTTCAACACTTTCTACATGCAATTCAAAAAAAAAAAAAAAGTAGCCCTAATTATGAGAAAATGCACTATCTTTTAAGTTGGTTTTTTCCTCCTCTTATATACATCGATTAATTCAAATGCATCCATGATGAAAACACTATTATTTGGTTTGAATTATAAGTTTTGTTTTTCTTTTTTTAAAAAAGTATTATACCTTTTTTGGCTTTCTCTCCTCAACCGATATAGTGGCATATCATGGCTATGAGTGGATTCAAGCAAATCCATAACTCTTAACCCTAGAAAAAAAAAATCTTAGGCTCTGAAAATAACCTATAATAATGACAGAATGTAGCATTCTGAATTCACTGTAAAAAGTTAACTTAGTGGTAGAATGATTTCACTTTCAAAATAAAGGTATACTTAATGTTAATTTAAAGTGGTTATTAGGTTTATAAAAAATATATTTAATTACACATAGTTATTGAATCAATTTCTTAAATAATATATTTAAAACAAAAAATTATTTAAATAATAGTTATCTAACTAAACATGTTTATTATTTCTATACAAAATTTAACAATACGAAATAAATTTCTCTAAAATATTACTTTCTTTGCTTATTTATTATTTTACTTTTCTCTCTCTTAACTTATTTTATTTTATTCGTTTTTCTCTATTTTTCTTTTTTTTTCCTTTCTTTTGTTGTTCTCTAACTCATCTTATTCTTCTAATTAAAAAATTAAATTAAAATTTGATAAAATAAGTTTTTATTATTTAAAAAAATATATTTAAATTATCTAAAAATATTATAATTTAATATATTAGATTTTAAAAAATATTATATTATAAATTTGAGGTATTATAATATTTTATGAAATTTTAACTAAAAAAATAAGATAAGTGAAAAAGGAAAAAAAAGGAGAGAATAAAGAAAAGAGGATATAAAAAAACAATAATAACAAAAAATAAATGAAGAAAAAGAAAAATAAAAAAAATGAAAGAGCAAAATATTTATATTATATCATACGAATTTATTTCTTATTATTAAATTTTGTATATATAAATAATAAACCGAGTAAATACAATTATAAAGATTTTATTTAAGTAATTTTTTATTTTAAATATATTATTTAAAACATTGATTCCTTATTGTTTATCAGTTAAAAAAAGTAAAATTTATGATAATATAGTTTTCTTAATTTCGAGGAGCAACATTCCATGCCATAATTTCATAAAAACAGATTCTCAAATATGTAATCTATTAAATATAATATAATTAAGGAAGTTTAAAATCTAATGAATTTAAAAATAAAAAAAAATAAAAATGAATCAAATCGAATTTTTTAGATGTTTAGAATTGACTGATTTAGTTGGATTTTACGTTTGACAAAAAAAAACTAAAATTAAATAAATTATAATATATAAAACATATAAATTAAATATAAAAATATATAAAAACATTATAATTATACATATTAAATTAAAATTTAATCATGTATAATGATTTTATAATATACTTTTTTATTTAACCATTATCTTATTATAATATGTTTAATTATATTTTTATAAAAATAAAAAGTAAAAATTATCAAAATCAAATTGTAAATATTGGTTTAATTTAGTTTTTTTTTAAATATTAAAATCAAATGAAACCGATTAATATTTAAATTTTATATTTAGTTCTTAGTATAAAACTATACATTAAACACTTTCTACTTTTAAGAAACCATAAATTAAATTATAATTATTTTCAACCAGTCCATAATATCTAATTTCATTTTTTTTCGGATAGAGATCAAAGATCTTGAACAATTAATCCAACAAAATAACTTAAAAAGTAAAGAAGTATTAGTTAATTTTTTTCTCACTGATTTCAAATTTAAAATACCATTTATACAAATAAAATTCTACCGTCACATAATTTATTTTTCTATATGTTATTTATTTACACTATTAACATAATTTATAAAGTTGAGACCACATATTACATTGAAAAAATCATTCTATTCAAATATTTGGAAGTTCAATAACAGATAGAAAATGCCAACATTTTAATTTTTAATATGACCTTTCAAACATCCTCTTGGTTCTTAAGTTGTATTTATTAGGGCACGTGAAGTTATGGATCTAGTTAACTATAATTAACTGCACTTTCTTTTATAATTATGTTTTTAAATAAATTTCAATTAATAATAATAATAATATAAAAAAAACATGTGTTACAGATCATTACTTTTTTTACACAATATATTTTATATCAATTACCATGATTTAATTATTCTAAAAATGATATTAGATTCAGAACAATCATCAGTGTTCAATTTTATGAAGTGAAGTTGAGATTTTTAAGAGGTAGATAAAGAAAAAATATGAGTATTTGACCTAGTGCATGAACTTTGCTTAAAAACTTTTCAATGTTCCCATTTTTTAAAATTATTATTATATATAGTTTCGAATTCACATAAGTTATGATTAGTAAAATATTATGATTGATTGTGGTCTTAGTTTTAGAATCATGATTGGACATTCCAAAGTTAATAGTTATTATAATTGATTAACTAAGTACTACTATGTTGTTTAGGGTTATATTGAGAGAATTAACAAGAGAGAAAATCAATAAAAGAAGAAATATTAGCCTACATCAAAATATAACTGTTTTTAAATGTGTGATTATTTATTATAAAATATTAGTGACGATGCCTAAAATTGTTTCTCTTGTCAAAAGAGGTTCCAAAATTACTTATTTAATGCATATATAAGAGGTAATATATATGCTTGAATTAGAATGATAAAAATAATATTTTTTAAATATTTAACGGAGTGATATATATATATATATTGAAATTAAACTCAAAATAACTAATTTTTTTTTTAAACCGTATTATCTATATAGTCAATGATATTTGCTACATTAAGATTTAACGTAAGAATATATATTTGAGGAATCTTGACTACTCTACTCTTCCCTTTTTATAATTGATAAAAATTTATCGAAAAAATTGAATTTTAACAGATTCGACTGTTACTAAAATTTATAACTTCGAAAAATAAAATCAATCATAAAATTTGAATGGTGATTGTCTTGTGTGGATAAAGTGAGTCATAGTGACAGGTGTAAACTGAAGAAGAGGGTGAGAGGAGAGAGAGGAAAGTAAATTGAGTAGCATATGAATAAAACAAGGACAGAATTGATGTACAAAACAAATAATATTAAAATGTATTATTATAATTTTCGAAGCTATAGTTCAGTCAGATACAGAAATATTAAAAAAGAAGAAAAAAAAAAATGGGCACCGAAAGGTAAATAGGAAGGGCAAGGGTATTCGATTATTTGAATTTAGTGAGTGAGGGACACAGTGGAATAGTTTTGGGTCAGTCAAAAAGCGCAATCATAAGCATCACTTCACCTTCACCACCACAAAAACTGAAAACTGTACCACCCAACACTCTCTTTTCTTCCCTTCTTATTCCCCCCTTCCCTCTCACCCCTACCCTATCATCATGCACCACTTTGACATGGACAACTCTCACCTTCTTCAATTCCTTCCCAACACCACCACCACCACCAACACCAACCCCTTCTTCCACACTGCACCACACACCACCAACATCATGCACCAACACCACACCCTCTCTAATAACTCCTCCTCCAATAACTTCTACCCCTTCCATGTCTCCCAAATTACCCCCACACCCTCCCACCAAGATAGAGCCCTTGCTGCCATGAAGAACCACAAGGAAGCTGAGAAGAGAAGGAGGGAGAGAATCAACTCCCACCTCGATGAACTTCGCACTCTTCTCCCCTGCAATTCCAAGGTATACAAATACACTCCCTCACATAACCATCATCGTATCATACACTAGATAGCTTTATCCCTTAATCGTAATTAACACCTTCCAACTTCAATTCCTAAGAAGACCCATATGTGATTTGTATAGTAACACACTCAGTATATGTATATGTTCGATATTTATGTCATTATTAAATTGTAACTTTGCTTAATTTTGAGCAATTTGCAACCTTTTCTCACTGACTACACCATGTTTATTCTCAAAGGTTGCATACATTTTGACCAACAAAGGTAAATGCGTGTTTTGCTTTACTACACTTTAATTGCCACGAAACACGTATCTGTGGATATGTACTTGACATACATACATCAGAACGAGATTTAGTTCAAGGAAACTCATTAGATTCTTCTTATTCAGGTCATGTTTCAAAAAGAAACCCCATAGAGTTGGGGAAAGTGAGTTTGCTTTTACCAACATGCAATATAATGGTTATTTATCATTTTTGGTCCTTCAGACAGACAAGGCTTCGCTTCTGGCTAAGGTTGTGCAGCGAGTGAAGGAGCTGAAGCAGCAGACGTCGGAGATAACGGAGCTGGAGACGGTTCCGTCGGAGACTGACGAGATCACGGTGCTCTCCACTGGCGGGGACTATGGCGGCGATGGGAGACTGATATTCAAGGCCTCGCTGTGCTGCGAGGACCGCTCGGACCTCATCCCGGACCTAATAGAAATCCTGAACTCGCTTCACCTCAAAACCCTCAAAGCGGAAATGGCCACTCTCGGAGGAAGAACGCGCAACGTTCTCGTGGTGGCTGCAGACAAAGAACACAGCATCGAATCCATCAATTTCCTTCAGAACTCGCTCAAGTCTTTGCTAGACAGGTCCAATTCCAGCGATAGGTCAAAACGACGCCGTGGCCTAGACCGGAGACTAATGTCTTAAACGGATACATGCACCAATCTTCTATTTCCATAACTACACGTGCAAGTGCATGCTCGCAAGCATCACTCCTAATGTGTTTGGTTATGTTAAAGGGAGTTGAACTAAGATGGATTACATTATATGATATTATATTATAATTGTTTATGTTGTTATTATGGTAGTTAGGTAGGTAGCTAGGGTTTGTGTGGTGTTTGTTTGTAATCTTTGCATGTGAACTTAGTGTTGCATGTAAGTAGGAGAAACAGGAATCCGAGTGTAGAAAGAAATGGGGTTTTGTTTAATTACGTGCTGTGCAAGTTGTGGCTTGTGACAGCGAGGGAAAGGAGTCTGTCTGTTCTGTAAAAGCAATGCTTCTGTGAGTTTCCAAGCTGTAGAAAATGGCATATTCGTTTCTCTTTCATGCACTTTCTTTCTCTCATGTCTATCTGCTTTGTGATTGTATCTCGCTGTTTTTCCTTTTCCTCGGCTTACACTGATTATAAAGAACAACTGCCTGGGAAAACATGGACTGCTTGTGTGTTGGGAACTGGGTTTTGGGTTGGATTCTAGCTCAGGTTTGTTGCTGTAAGGGATGATGACGTTTTAATCACAATGTTAGTTTTTCTGATTAACTGTATCAATAATTAAAGACTAATTTCTGAATTTTTTTAAATCTATTTAAGGGTCTCTCAATATATATGTTTTTTTTTTTTTCAAAGCGCAAATTTTAGAATAGAACTTCTGATTAAATCCTTAAAGAATAAAGTTATCTGTGAGTATTATTACAGCAGTGTTTTTGCGTGTGAGACAGTGAAATGACAAGGGGTTTCGGTCCCTGGAAGTGGAAGAATGTGTTGTGTTTCCAAATCTTGCTTTTGGGGGAGAAAAAGGAGAAAAGGTGTTGTGAGTGGTCGGAGAAAGAGGGCAAGCTTATTGCAAGAATCAGAGGTAGTTCTGCTTCTGCATACATGTTAAAAGGCTTTTTAATTAATCTGAGACTGTGTATAATTGATGGGGGTGTGGAATATATTTATGCAGACCAAAAGAAAACAAAAAACTGGTCAGTAATTGTAGTCTTGCCCGGGGCTTCTTCAGGTGTCAGTGCAGAGAAGAATGTACTGTGTTTTAGTTGTCAATTTGTTTATTAACGTATACAAATGATTCTATATTTGAACATAATTAATATCTGATTAATATTTTAACTTTGCTCTTATAATTTGTGTGCTAACAGAATACTAATGTTTCCATATATGTTGCGGCTTACAATTACTTCTGAACTATCTGATGTATCTAAATGGTTTAGTTTGGTTTAAGCTTTGAGAAGTTGAGAATGTCAAAAAGAAAAACAAAATGGTTTGAGTTGTGACTGTATACTAATCTACTATACTTACAAATGATTGGGAAATTTCATCGATTATTTTAAGAATGCATGAGTGAAAGTTTTTGTTCCAATGGAGATTCTGGCTATCTGAAATTTCAAACTTATCTAAATCTATATTTGGATGGGTCCATTTAAAAAGTGCAAAGCTCTTTCGGCTAAAAACCTCATTTAAAAGCAATTTACTCGACCAATTCTCGGTTAATCTAAAGTAGAATTTAAACTTATAGAGGTGTTATCCAACACATTTTGGTAAAATATGAAATCAATATGTTAAAGTTGAGAGTGAAAAGAAGTGGAAGTGAGCATTTAGTTACAAATCTGCATATACCTTGATCATTGCATTCTTTCTTTTGTTTTTCTCTCCACACTTCATATTATAATTACACACAATTAAGCACAGCAATGATCTAAAGCTTTTAAAATGGACAGAAATATCATATATGATTGGGATTTTGCATTGATTAGGGATCAACATAAAAAGAAAAATAAAATAATTGCTAAATCTCATAATTAGCTACCGTCCAAATTGTCCTCCTTTTATCAGTTTAGGATAGGTTCCTTCTCAACAATTCATAATTATTAGTTTCTAAATTTCTTTTAATTCAAATATTTCGATTTTAAACATTAATAAATAGAAAATAATAATCTTTTAAAATCTTTATATATACTTGATAAATAGTAGGATTTCTTACCTATCATCCTTTTTAGGGTTTTCATTTCAAATTTTTAATTAAATGTTATTTATTATTATGATTTTACATGTACATGTTCTCAATCATAATTTTTTTATTTTATTAATTTTCTCTTTTTCCCTTCGGAATCAATACTATCAATTACTTTTTATGAATTATATGTATGGTACCAAACATCTTAAAAATCAATTTTATGAATTTATTTCATTTAGTCTTTTCCCTTTCTCCCCTCTTTTTAATTAAAGATTATAGCTTCTTTTATACTTATATTTTATAATTTTATTTTTTATACTTTATATGTTATGAACCCATGCTTTACACTAATGATACTTAATTTGATCAATAATATATATATATATATATATATATATATATATATATATATTTTTTTTTTCAAGATTGAGACCAATTAGAAAAATATGAATTATTAGTATTGACAACTTTGTATAATTATAAAAATAATTGATGAATTTAAGATAAAATATTTCATTGAGGTAAGTTTAACATTTTAGTTATATGTACATGATATATATATATATAAATTGTGCATAGTTAGGTTCACTAGCTAGTATAATAAGAAGATTAAAACATTACTGATACACTACTAAAAATTCTCATTTTTCATGGGAATATTTTTGCAAATTTTTTGTAAAAATTGCAAGAAATAAGTTTTCTGTAAATTTAAACAATTTTTAGCAAGAAAATTGGCAGAAAAAAACTAGTTTTGTAGTAGTGATATTCACTTTTTAATGTTTTTCTTTTTATCTTTGAAGTCAATCACTTAACAATGAGGTGTATTTTTAATTTTACATATTTTTAAAAATATCTATACTATATATTTGTGGTTAAAAAATTATAATTGTTTATATATGTTTTTCATAAAAGGTGTTAGATTAAGTATATTTATCTTCATAAAAATATTGTCTGGATTGTACTGTTACTCTTTAAAAAAAAATACAAATGCATTGTATTATTAAAACATTATTCCGTTATATCTATATTGATTTTATATATTATTTTTTAACTGACTTAATATTTATACTACAACTTAAATTTTAGATTATATATAATTCTGGCTTTAGAAAATTTTACTTAAGCCTAAGCTTGCACAATGTATATATATGGATTAAAAATTTGTATTTATGTTTACATTCTATATAAAATTTATCCAACAAAAAACAATATAATTAAATAGTTGATATAATGATAAATACAAACAATAATATTGTGTAGATTTATTTTAAGAATAATATGACTGTTTTTTATATATGAATATGAATATTCAAATCATGTGGTTGTGAATTTCTTGATTGTGGGTAGGAGAAGCTACTTGGATAGACAGTCACACGTGGATTGCAATCATTTACAAATCAATAATGTCAAACAAAAATTAAATTCAGAAGTTCCAGAACCTTGACAAGATTAAATTACCAACTCATAATTCAATATTCTACGTCTTAGATCAATTTATTCTATTCAACCTTGTTCTGTCAAACATATTTAGTTTTTAATGAATTGCAACACAAACAATGCATCCATCCACAATGCTTACATAAATACCAACTAAAGAACAAAAATGATTTTTTCCCATATGTTTTCCTTATTATACTCTCAATACATTTTTAGGTTGATTTTGACAAATAACATTTGAAACCCCTGCAAAGTACACAATATTAATCTCCAAGAAGAGAAAAAGTTGGAACACAGAAGCCATGAGGGCACCAATGGTGAATGGGGTTATAATGATTTTGGGATGGGAAAAATTATGGATTGTGGGTGCAAAAGAAAGTGCATGATCAATGGTTTTGACCCTTCTTTTTAACAACGTTTAATGGGAAGCAAAAAGAGAGATGGAGAGACAAAAGGTAACTCGCTGCTTGTAACTTTCCCCCTCTTCCACCACATATCAGAGGTATACTGCCCTCACTTTCCAGAACATAGAGGAAAGGGAAAAGGACAGGTCCCAAGGGACATGAAATATATAATATTATCACCAGTTTTAGCAATTCTTCCTATACATCTTTTTTAAAAAAACCTTAAATATTTCTTTTATAAAAAACTTCAAATTCGTACTCTGTATACAACTGTTATTGTTAGGATCGAGCGCTTACCACTAGGCCAAAATCTATAGCCATTAGTCGAGGCGCAACTCTTTTTACTTTAACGTGCCAAGCGCCACAATTCAATTGTGACTCGACCACCTCGACCTTCGTCACGGGATAATTGATGCTACCTGCAACAATCTCCCCTCGACAATTGTCCTACAAGGTATCCCACTCTTGGATTGTGACTTGGCCCACCCGGCCTCGCCACGGGACAATTGTGCAACCCGCAACAATCTCCCCTCAACAATTGCCCACCAGGAATCGAACTCGTGACCTTGGCTCGATACCAATTATTAGGATCGAGCGCTTACCACTAGGCCAAAAACTATAGCCATTAGTCGAGCGCAACTCTTTTTACTTTAACGACCCAAGCTCCACGATTCAATTGTGACTCGGCCCACTCGACCTTCGTCACGGGACAATTGATGCTACCCGCAACAATCTCCCCCTCGGCAATTGTCCTACAAGGTATCCCACTCTTGGATTGTGACTTGGCCCACCCGGCCTCTGCCACGGGACAATTGTGCAACCTGCAACAATCTCCCCCTCAACAATTGTCCACCAGGAATCGAACTCGTGACCTTGGCTCTGATACCAATTGTTAGGATCGAGCGCTTACCCCCGGCCTCTCAAATAAAGATAAAGGAGATCACCCGTAACAAGATAAAGCTCGTCTAGCATTACAAATAAGAGCCAAGGAGACTTCCCATATGGAGATAAAGCTTCAATAGACACATATCGGCATCAATTGACGTCCAAAACAGGCAAGGAAAGCTTCCCGGAGTCCGAAACGCGCGAGCCGGCGAACGAGGTTGAGACGGCCGTCCCGGTTGGGACGGCCGT